AACTGGATATATATACAATACAAGTTTTTAAACTAGTGCTAGGCATGGAACTGGATATATATATATATATATACAATAAAGGTTTTTAAGCTAGTGCTAGGCATGAAACTGGATATATATACAATACAAGTTTTTAAACTAGTGCTAGGCATGGAACTGAATATATACAATAAACGTTTTTAAACTAGTGCTAGCCATGGAACTGGATATATATATATACAATAAACGTTTTTAAACTAGTGCTAGCCATGGAACTGGATATATATACAATAAAGGTTTTTAAACAAGTGCTAGCCATGGAACTGGATATATATATACAATAAACGTTTTTAAACTAGTGCTAGCCATGGAACTGGATATATATATATACAATAAATGTTTTTAAACTAGTGCTAGGCATGGAACTGGATATATATACAATAAAGGTTTTTAAACTAGTGCTAGCCATGGAACTGGATATATATACAATAAACGTTTTTAAACTAGTGCTAGCCATGGAACTGGATAGATGGCAGTGTGGATCAAACCAACAATTCTCATATAACGGCTCCATGGCACAAGCATGTATGGTGGCATGTGAATCGAACCAAAGATTACCATATCCTGAGGCAGCCCCATGGCACGACCATGTATGGTGGCATGTGAATCAAACCAAAGAATCTTATATCATGAGGCGGCCCCACCCCTTTACCACTAGCACGTATCAACTTTAATTAATTGAAAATATTGTAATGAGAAATTATAATGACAGTATCTCAGTTACTTGTATATTTGGAATAATTGAAAACAGTGACAATCAGACACCCTGATTTGTATAAATTGGTTGTTTGTGCATGTCGTAACACTAATCAGTTAAACTGAACAAATTTAAATTAATTGAAAATAATGAGAAACTGTAATGGCAATATTTTAATTAATTGGATCATTGGAATGATCAGAAACACTAATTTTGATTAATAGTATTGTTTTTTTCACAATAATTGATGCAATTGTAATTTACATTAACTGATTATTTTATGTAATACTAAAAGGTGTACTCATTTGTTGTCCAGTTCCATGCCTAGCACTAGTTTAAAAACTTTTATTGTATATATATCCAGTTCCATGCCTAGCACTAGTTTAAAAACCTTTATTGTACATAAAACATGCTATTACCATGGGGCCATTATATAAGAATCTTTGGTTCAATTCACATGCCATTTATACATGGTCATGCCATGGGGCCATTATATAAGAATCTTTGGTTCGATTCACATGCCACCAAACATGGTCGTGCCATGGGGCCGCCTCAGGATATGAGAATCTTTGGTTCGATTCACATGCCATCAAACGTGGTTGTGCCATGGGGCTGCCTCACGATATGAGAATCTTTGGTTCGATTGACATGCCACCATACATGGTCGTGCCATGGGGCTGCCTCACGATATGAGAATCTTTGGTTCGATTGACATGCCACCATACATGGTCGTGCCATGGGGCTGCCTCA